ACCTGAACCGCCCGTTCCTTCCCCCGCTTGCGCGAGGGAGCCCAGGTTTCCAGCATTTCAATTCCAAAACCTGCCGAAACCATAACTCCACCACGCGCGGTGCCTGGAACTTTCGCAAATGTCTAGAAGCCGTGCGGAGATGCACCGTGTGGATGTTAGACAGGCCGAAGCAAGACGTGACATGGTAGAAGGCTTTTATCATCATCCTTGATGTTCGTTGTGCACGTTTTTGCATGCTGATGCCCGCAGAGTCCGGCAGGGACCCGTTTACGTTCATCAGAATGTGTTTCTGTGTGCTACTTCCTTGCTCGATACAGCGACTTGCGGCCTACTTTTTCGATTTGCTGTTAACGTACTGTTTGTGCCGAGGTTCAGTGGCCTGAGGCCGCTGATGTTGCGTCGAAGAGGCGTGAAAGAGTCGTTTGCAGAGTGAGCTCATGCAGTGTGGCATGTCGAGACACTTGTGTGCCGAACTTGATGAGGTGATGCCAGTGTTCCTGTGGCCGCTGCGCCACAGAGTGACAGTGCATCCACTGGCAGTGTTTGTCTGAGATGCGATGTCGGGACAAGAGCTGGACATCTTGAGTGAGTAAGCATTTAGATATAGGTGCACCGTCAAAGTCCGACCCTCAGCGACGATTGTAGCTCTCGGCGGTAATCCTAAAGCAGTTCTGGACAGGATTTCTTGACAGGCCACGGTCGCTACGCGTCGGCGTCATCTTGGCTGGCGAGCAGCACCACCCCGAACTTGTAATAGACTGTAATTTGGATCGATGGGCTCAAAGCTGAGGTCATGTTTGCCATCGTATCCCACCAATGCCGGAATCTCTGGGCCTTCGCGAGTGGCAGAGGGACCTGCGGGATCTCGTGTTTTGCAGAAGAGCTGCCTGCGCCCGAGGTTGTAGCTGGGCTTTATCGCGGTCTGAAGGTTCTTGACACCAAATGCCAACCTGCGCGCCCGTGCAAGCGTGCATGCATTGGAGGCACTATCGCCGGGAGCACGATTGGTGGGATTCGTGAACGGCAACACCCTCGTCATTGTTTGGTGGTAGGGCCTGTAGGGCAGTGTAGGGGGCCCCGAGTGATCACCTTGCCAGGTCCGCGAGGCTTTCTCGAGGGAAAGTTCAAGGAGATTACTGAGAACCAGGCCTGGGCCTGGCAGATGCCGCTAAGGTACACACACCTGCGCCCTCACACGAAGACGCACGACCACTTGACACAGGTGAAGAAAGACATGAATCAGGGTTCGTGGAGATTGTTTGCTCCTTATATTACTTATATACCTCTTCCGTCGCCATCGGATTCCTTGGCCACAGCTGAGGCTGGGTCACGGCAGTTGCAGAGATGGCAGCTACTCGAAAGAGAATCGAATGGAGGCCTGTGGTGCAGGCATGCAAAGTAAACCGTTAAGAAGGACGGGAGAGCTCGTGGCTCTGACCACAACGTACATACAACTTGCGGCAGGGAGGGGGCCATTTCCTGCTCCGCCCCTTGCTACTGTTCCCCCCCTGGGGACGTTTGTCTTCCGTTCCTCTTTATGAAGCTTTTTTCGCTTCCGTTCGTGGTTCCGTTGTCAATTTCGCTTCCGTTCAGCTTTCCCACAACGGAATCGGCAACGGAAACCCCGGCAGCACCAAAATCAAGACAGAACCGGAAACTTAAAACCCGGGCCTAGCATCCAAAACGGCGGGACCCCACCCGGAAACGGGAAAAATTGAAAACACACGGTGTTGTGTTCCACTGGTTTTCCGTTCCTTGGGATTTGGGGTGGGTTTGTGCCCCGAAGCCGAAAGTTAATCCGTTTGCGGTTTCGTTTCCGAAGCTCTCAGATCAGCGGAAGTCGAAACGGAAGGGCTCACGGGAATGGAAGCCGGAATGGTCGGAATGCAGGACTAAGCGCATGGGAAATCCCAACCGGACACACTTCCTTTCTTTTCAAGCGGAACTGCAAACGGAAGGACAGGAGGTCAGGAACGGAAGGTCTGTGGCCGAAAATCAGCATTCCAATACTTGCCATCTGGGGGAGCTGCATCGAGCTGCGTGACATGCCAGTATCAACAGGACATTCTGTCGTTGCAAGCTGAATAGGCTCGCTGAGTTAGTCGTAGAGATATGATGTGCAGATTGCTCAGCGCTCATGCTGGGGTGTTTAATTAGTCCGTGACCATCAGGAAGCCCAGGTGGCAGCCGAGGTGTGCAATGAGTTGCGTTCGCGGCCTGGCTTTGTGGAGCTTGTCCTTTGCATAGTGCAGAGCTCTCTTTGTACTTGTGCCCAGGTCTCGATGCGCTTGTGGCAAACTCAGGTCGCAGTTGTTTGCTTACATAGAAGCCTCAGGCATTTTCTTGCAAGTCACTCTACCTGTCTGCATCATGGCAAGCGAGAACAGCTGAGGTCATTGTTGCCGGCCCGAAGGATACACACGTGAGAAGACTCCTCCACCTTTTTGCAGCTTTAGTAGTTTCGGGTCGGTCGCAGGATCTTTCGTGGGCGGCGACCTTGGCGACAGCATTCACAGAGGAGGATCGAACAGATCTAAGCGGCCGCTTATCACCAGTACGAAGGGACGCAGCAGAATGCCGGCCGCTGTTTCGTCAAAGGCAGTCGCGTCGGTGCTGCGGCAACTTGAGGTTGTTCGCGATCCGCATGTGGCTCCAGTGCATGAGAAAGGCATTGTTAAGATGACGGGCCCCTTTCCGCATGCCCTTACTTCAGAAAGCGCCGGGTTTCGGATGGTATATCACCAAGCCGCCTCCACTCAAAAGCCCTTCACCACGCTCTCGGCAATAATCTTACCAGATTTCAACTGGCCATCACATGCCATCACTTGGTATGGACGGTAGTATGTTCAAATGCCCGTAAATCCGGTTCATCCGGATCTTCAAGGCCTGAACTACTCCACAGGCAGCAAATCGCATCGCCGAAGGCTTCAAACTGTTCCCTCAGGAAGGGAGAGAAAATTTCCTTGCGGAAAAAATGAGGGGAGACAGGTGGAAGGCGGAAGGGTCTTAGCTGTCCGTGCTTGAGAGATACACAACTAAATAGGAAGACAACAGCCTACACGGTCTTTCTCCATGTCGAGCGCGACGGAGCTCTGAAGCCGTCCAATGCACCACTTGTCAGTTATTCGTTTCCATCTCCACCAAATGGCTCTTTGTGCCTCGGTTTGTCGTCTTCGTTTCTCTTCGCCTCGAGTGTTTAAACTTCGTTATCCTTTGCATCGCCTTCGTGGTTTTCCATAGGACTTCGACACTTTGTTGCTGTCCCATGCAGATCAATGCCACCAAACTGCGTCAAATTTCAGCAGACGTGCTGTGGCTGTATTTAGCGTATCCCTGGTACCTGGTAGTAGCTCCAGTCATCACGACGTCATTGGAATTCGTCGCCAGGACCAACGCCTCGTCAGTCATTGAATCTAACTCTAACTATCCTCGGCTTGGTTTGCCATCCGAACCTGGCAGTCGACATCGGAAGCTGCTGACTAGGCCGAACTATGAGGCTTTCCGAATCTCTTGCACTTTATGCGCCAGCATATGCGCTTGCATAGCTTACCTTTGTCAATCCTAACTCTGGCATGTTGTTCGTTCCCCATTCCTGTCCTGAGCAGGAGCTCTGCCGCACGAAAGTCATTGGAGTGCCGCACAGTGGGCCACCCGCATTGGCTGCATCCTTTACACACGCCTTTGGTGACCATGCAGGTAAGAACTTGAATCTTTACGTCAAGCGGCAGAGGGGCTCAGAGTGTGACCTTGTGCAGCCTGTTGAGGCAGCTGTGAGCAAAAATTGGCGAAAACTCGACTTGAGTCCAGTACCCGGACGTAGGCAGGGGCAGGCCAGGAAGGGCCTCTGATTCGAGGGGCTAGTGCTACAACAACCGGCGTGGTGGCGCCTGCGATTTGTCGTCGGGCATTCCCCGGCAAAGCACGCCCTAGACCGTACTTTAGGATATCCAGCTCGAATCTTCGACAAGACCAAGATCGTGGAAACAGCAAGGGGGGAAGGGGGCGCGGTCGTCAGGTTATCGGATCCTATTTGTTCTATTGATTCTATTGTGCATCCAATCTTTTGTCGGAGTGACGTTGCGGTAGCCTTTTGTGAACTTCGTGGTAACCAGCCCGGTTGGCGACACTTGGCTTGTGTGGTGTCTTGGTACAGGTGCACAAAGTCGGCGAGGCCACAAGGTAGCAAACGGATCCAAGATAATGTGCACTGGACGTAAGACTATCGCGATCGCTGGCGGAACCGCGACAAGCAGGACAAGCAGGTCTTCTGGAAAATATCTCGCATGTTTTCTGACTCAGTTCCACGACTTGTTCCGCCTTGGCGGTCAGCTGTCCGTCACACTGTGGCCGAGCATAGTGTTTGCCTGCATTGAGTTCGAGCATAGCCTGCGCGCAGGGCAGTAAGCGGCGGGGTCACTGAGAGCAGTTATCGATCGAATTTGCCGGACTGCTCTGCTGACCAAGATACATGCCTTTGACCCTGGGCTTTGACACTGCACGACGATTGCTGAGTGAGGCTTTGACAGCGGCCGGAGGAAAATGACAGGGTAGTAAGAGTCGTGGAACTTGCGCAAGGTGGCCGGCAACATATTTGTTGATTCCCTGAGCTCCAACAAGCGGCCTGACTGCACGGATGGTCACACACACACACACATGCTTTCGCTTCCCTGAGCCTGAACAGGTACTGGCACTTCATCCGGTGTGGCGAGGACCTGCGGTGTGGTCGGCAGTCGTGGTTTCCATCTTGATGCGTGCGGACACATGGCCGGTGAAGGATGCTCTGACCGTCGAAGTGGCACTGCAAACACGGAGCACCTTCTCTGAGCACCTTGCATGTTAAGACAAAATCCTGGGATAGTCCAAGCATATCAAGATCCTCCCATAGTCTTCTCCGCTGCTTGGGTCTCAAAGTCTCTTGCTTGTGCAGCCTCTCGGACTCTCGGGCCCTGGCAGCGTGCGGCGCTTGCGTTTCCGATATTTTGTGGTGCCAGGTCCTCACCATGGGACGACAAGCTCACCACATCTCTGACAGCCAGAAGGTCCTCACACGAAGGCATGACAGGACATGCCAACCAGCGCCTCCTGTGGATGTCCAGGAAACGCTGACGCAAACCGTCAACAATCTATGCGAGGCTTCACCACGAAACAAAACCTCGACCACCATACTGGTTCCACTCTGTTTTCGAGGTCGTTCAGTCCAGGCGTCGGTCTGGCAGATATTCTGGCGTGGGGATCCAAGTTGGCACGCGGCAAGCTGCACACAGCGAAATGGCGAAGCGCGCATGTTCAGGTGGTTTTGATCAGCCGCCAGCTCATTGAAACGTTGCCTGAGATGGACGGCCGACCCTAGACTACTAGAGCCCCGGTCCCGTAGAGCCTGACCTCCGATCTCATTGTACTGGTCGCCAGGACCAGCTAAAAGCAGAGATAGCTGCGATCGTCAAGGCCGAGGCTGGCATGGCTGGCTGGTGTCTTGAATTCCTGTCGGTGTACCGCTATGGCTGCCGTATGCAGGCTGCGGACAAGAATCGGCAGCCGTTCCCGACTGAGGCCAACGTGACCCGGGAATAGGGGGCCGCGTTGACGGATGAAAAGACAGTGGTTGCACAGAAGCAATTGCGGGAACTTTTGCTTTGCCGATCCTCCTTAGAAAGCCCGTGCCAAGTTATGCCAAAGGTAGACTCGCGATTGAAGTCTGACGCTACCAAAGCTCTCTTCAAGCGCTTGCCACGCTTTGTTGGGGCCACAGTTCAGTTCCAGATGCACGCGACCTTAACCTTCCGTCGCCACTTGGACAAGGTACAAATGAGCATGATTCGCAATCGTGACTGCGGTAGCCTCAAATCTCGGTGTGATGTGCGTCCGGCAGTCGACTGGGGTTCAGCGCGACTGTTCTGCCAAGCTTCTGGACTGCCGGTCCTGCCCAAAGACTTGGAAGCAGCACCTGCCTCAGCGCCCCTTGTCCTGTTCGAAGCAACCACAACGCCTCACGTGGTGCAGGAACGTATTCTGGGCCGCTTTGTTCAGCAGGAACTTCGCAACCAACCACCTGTCAAAAAGGTCCGCGGCCAAACCATGAAAATGCTGCTGTGTTTGGGATGGTGCTCCTTTTTTGCTAGGTGAAGGCAACCTTTGCGCCACGCTTCCATGCCATGGACCTGATGACCAGCTCGCCACTGTTGAAGTCTTACAAATCCTATCAGCTAGACATAGCTAGACACTGCATAGTGTGGTGTGGCAACTCGCTATCCTGTCTAAGTACTGTAAGCTGATGTTTCGCGCTTCCGTTGAAGTCGCCGAGGCCATCTGCTTTCGACTGCGCCTTTGGGCCTGGGCCCGAACCATTACTTTCGATCAGAGCAGCAATCGCGCTGGCTCCAAGGTATGCTCTAGGACACACCGCAGCCTTGCTTGTCAACGAGCGCCGGAATTTCTACGTCGCCTGCTGCGCAGGCAGACCTGCCGATTGACAACTTGCCATCTTTTGGTTAAGTGGTCTTGGGCGCGCCTGCAAGGTATGCACCGCAATACGCGCTACTGGGAGCCTTGCGCTATTCCTTTCACGTATTTGTACCCAGAGGTGCGGCGTTTGCGAGTCGAACTCTAACCCGCGTGGTGCGAGCATATGACGCTGTTTTTTTGGCCCAGCTTGGTTCATGTGGAGAGTGAGCTGGTGAACTGACTCCCGGCAAATCTCGGCAGTGCGGCCCAATACCAACTGCTCACGGCCAGCTTGGCATACGCCTGTTTGAATGAGTATCTCTCCCCGGAGTTGCCCTCAGTGCATGGTCCAAATATTCTTGGTCTTTGGCAAGAGCAATGAATGACAGCTACTGAAAGCCACAGAGCGCAGACGCCTCATGTGCCTGCCATGGCAACTCCTGGAATCGCCCTTCTGAAGAATGCTGATGGCTACGATGATGTGGCAGCTTTCACGAAATCTGGATAGGTTGCTTTGTAAACTCATCTGGTCGGAGCCTCTTAGCATTCGCTTTCGATTTGGAAGGCAGCCCGGGTGAAGCCATCAGCGGCTGCGGCCTGGGACCACAGCTCAGCCTTCTACGTTCTTCTACGCAGGCGATTTCAGGCCAAGTTATGAGCTGAAGAGAGCACCCGAAAGCGCCGGCCGCATCCACGGCCGCGGCGATGCCCAGGACGTTCCGAGCGGAAGTTTGGTCGAGGTCGTGGAGGCGTAGAGTTGGCAGAGGTCGTTGCTGCGGGCTGTTGCTCATGGAAGGAGTGGGTTGATTGTGAACACGGGACAAGCCGAGGTGCCTGGCAAACCGTGCAAAAATCAAGAAATATCAGAAAGCTTCAGCGCACCGACCTGCAAGGCTTTATAAAATCGAAGAACTTGCCCTCAGTTGCATCTGCCACTTCTGGCGACTGGTTGGAGGCATCCTGTGTAAGGCTACTTCAGTACATCCTGCAGCGACGTGGTCTTTGTAAGCACCCGAAAGGTGCGCGACAGCTTCGCAGGCACGGGAGGTGTCGTAAATGGATTCGCGCAAGGCTTTGGCTGCATTCGGCAGGCAATGACGAAACCTGCATGCGGAGGCATTGTGAACAAGATGCTTCTGCAGGTGATTCATTGATTGAGTTGGCTGTCCTTGGCATGAACAAGTTTGCAAAGATTTTCTAATCAACAATCAGTGGTGAGGTAACGTGGTCTGCTTCGTCCCGAACGGGCCGAAAGTTGTAAAGATGGTAGACAGATGGACTGAGTGCAGGCAGGAATGGCTTCAAGCTTGTGGGTCCTTTAGCAGAGGCTGCGTGTGCACAGGTGGCGTGGTTACAAGCTTTTTGTAAAAGCTCGGCACGTGCAGCCTGCGCCGGCCGGTGCGAGCCTGGATACCGCCACACGGCAGATGATTGCGCTTTGAATACAGTAATTTTAATAAAGTTGAGGGGTAGCCCTGGACCGGTCTTGTGTCATCCAGGTAGGCCATGGTGGCGATTCGGGAAAGCCCGGTGCGCGTGCAAAAGCAGCTGCAGGCTTGTTGGGCATCGCTCGACAGAGTACAGTTACAGAATACAGGTCACGGCACGGCTTGTATTCTAGGTGCAGAGGCGGAGCCGCCAGCGAAACGCTTGAAAAAAGGCAGGGCCGGGGCCGCCCGGGGGCCCACCGGGGGGCGTCTCATGATCTGTCGACGAGTCGGTGACTTCACGAGGTCGGCCTCCGTGCAAGTCGCAGCCACAGCATCCGCAGAACCCAGCGCGACTCCGCAAGAGGTCGCTGGGAGTTCAGCCGAGTTTGGCCAAGGTATGGAGCAGGCTGCTACCAGAAGAACACGCTGCACAGGGCCAAGTATGAACCTCAGAAGAGTGTTAGTCTCTGCTCTGCTTTGCTCACGGTTTTATTCTTCATGACTTGGCTCTTCGTCCTGCAAAGGCACCTTCGCGGCTTTAGTTTCGTGGTTTCCTCTCTTCTCGGTTGCTCTCGTGCGTGTATGCTCTGTGAGTTCTGATTCTATTGACGGTTTCCAGAGACATTTCTAAGCTTTTTGGCCTGGTGATCCGGTGGCAGTAGGCTGGGCCCCAGGGCTGAGATTGCGGGCCATGTGCGTTCGTCAACTCGCTTTGCTTTGTTTCTGTCATCCATGCTACTGACAGGGCGTTGCTGAAAGTGTCCGGTGGAGCCTTATTCCGACACGGGTTCTTGTTTTGAGTAGGCGCCCGCTGACGCGACCCTCTTAGGCCGGTGCTTGGGCTCTCTTAATATTCGTTGGCCGCTGGCCCGCTTTGCAGGCCGCATCGTGCTCCACACCTTCCTTCACTCTGAGCTTTTCCAACAGCACATGGATCTTTATTAATCCGGGGCCGAAATCCGGCACTTGACTTATACGGATGTCAAAAACCTGCGACTGTGTGCACGTGAACGAAGGCACGACTGTGTCGGTGATTTCCGCTGTTTGTCTTCGTATCTGAGTCGTGTACTAGTTGCTGCAAGAAGCTTTTATATAGTGTCGTGTTGAGGATGCGGGGGTGGATCTAGCGGGATGACCATACTAGTGCATACACATAGCATAACTGTTGAACTATATGTGTATGCGTGCCTTTGCTAGTGGTGATGCATAGGATTCGGATGCTTCTGTGCGGTGCCTGTGCGAGTGAGTGAATGAGAGAGAGAGAGAGAGAGAGAGAGAGAGAGAGAGAGAGAGAGAGAGAGAGAGAGATGGCAAAGTACCCCACGGCTGGCATTTGATGTGCTGCAAAATGAGTGTTCAAAACCCTGTACCTATCGTATCTAGTAAATGCAAACTAGCTGAAACAGGGGAAAACGCTCAAACCTTCTCACGCTGCTCCAAAAGCACCACGAACATCGGGGGGGCCTTAAAGGCCGAGGGGCTTCGAACACCCCTCATGCCGCGGGGAAGAAGAGAGAGAGAGAGAGAGAGAGAGAGAGAGTAGCCATTTTGGCTCAAGCCGTGAGCGGTTCGAGCCCCGAGCCAAAGAGAGATTACGTAACACAGGGGAGCAACCCGGTGCGCTGAGGGAAAGCCACTTGTGTGAGGGAGAGCGCCGCCATCGTTGTGAAGGGGGAGTCTGCTGCTCTACGCGTGATCACCTTCCGCGCCCTCGGCAGCGACATAGTCGAGAACAATCGTGAAGGGTGACCTTGCCCTGTACCTTCGGGACTTGCCCCACAGCATCTTTGAGGCGATCGGCGGCACTACTTGGGCGGGGGATTACCTCTTCCACAAGAAAGACATCCTGTACGCTGGGTGAGGCCGGCGAACATCTACCTGACTGTGTAAATGGCAGGGACACAGAGAATGCCACCTTCACCTACAAATGGGGATAACCCTCAACAACATGGGGGGAGGAAGCGACCAGCCCAGGGGGATGACGACGAGCCCCTGACCCTCACAACATTGCTTGCTGCCTTGAAGGAGAACCGTGAGGAGATTGTGGTTAAGGTGCGAGAGGACATCGATGTGCTCACCACCCGTGTTAGCACAGTTGAACTCACGGTCGATACACATGTCAGCAACACAACCAAACTGCTCGAAGCCATGACAGATCGACATTGTGCTATGGAACAGAGTGTTCGACAAGTCGATAGCACACAACAAGCTGTTCTCGAACGACTTGCAGCCTTGGAGGGGAAATTCGCGAAGGCAAATTTTTCCCTTTCCAGTACCAGAACTTCAGAGAGCGACGGGGGAAACCCCCGGCCAGCATTGGTGGTCGGGGGATGGGATGCTGATCAGCATCATGAAGACACGCTCCGACTCGCGAAACAACACCTGCAGGACCTCAACGTGAACCTCGATGTGAGCCAGGCTTTCGTTCCTGGCCTCCGTAGAGGGTTCGCTTTGGTACCTCTCACAAAGCTCGACGGGGAAAGTGACGAAGAGCAGCGAGTGCGAATCCAGGAGATCCTCCGCACTATCAGAGCGGCCAAGGTTGTCACAGGACAACGCCCGGAAGGGGGAAACCGCTACTTCTTCGCCGCCCTCAGCCAGAGCCCTGAGCGGCGAAAAAAGGCGCAACTCGCCGGCAAAGTGAAGAGGCTTATCATCGAAGAAGGGGGAGATGTTCGACGCATCGACGTGGAGTACGGGACCGCCAACTTGTGGTATAATGGCACCAAAGTGGCCTCTGGGGTCACCTCAGCCCCCGAAGGAGCCTCAACGGAGAAAGCGGGATGGGTGCACCTCGGTGCACTTGCAAGACAGATTGGCATCTCCGAAGACGCCGCCCAGAGAAAGTGGGGGGAACTCCGCAAAGCCTTACAGTGATCTCAGGCAGCTCGAAGCCATTTTGGCACCAAAGCCCCATGACCGCTTGCACGTCATGAGCTGGAACGTGGGGGGACTTACAGCTGCAAAAGCATTGGAAGTCGTCTCCGCCCTCCGGCAAGCTCGAATTCGACCTTTTTGTGAGTCCGTGATCGTATTCATGCAGGAGATCATATGCGACACGGGGAAACACCACGCCTCCTTGGATGAGCTGCAGATGATTTTCGGGAAACGTGCTGAAGACTGGCGCGGGAATGCTGTTTTGCATACCTCGAATCTGCAACACACCCGGGGAAAGATTTTGCCGTGCTGCATGTCATGTACAATCACCTCAGCTGATCTACGATTAGGCGCTTTTTCGGTACATGTCCCGCACCATGCTACACTGTCTACAACTGAACAACTCTTTCAGAGCCTGCATCCCCACCTTCAAAGCCATCGTCGAGCCGTGATAGGCTTAGATGCCAATGAGACCTTTTTGAGAGTGCTCAACAAAACCGTCAGGTCAAAGCTTGCTCCGCTAAAGGGGAATCCATGCTGGAATGGTTCGAGGAGCAGCAGTGCCATATGCCACCCCAGGAACTGGAGAAGCCGACACACTTCCCCTACAACACAGCCCTCGAGCCTCGTCGTTTGGACTACATCTTCGTGAAGAAACTACTGTGCGATCCGGGGGAGGTTTTAGCCCATCGGGACATCGCGACTTCAGACCATGAGCCAGTGACCGTGCCTCTTACTGAGATGCATTTTAAAGCACCAACTACAGGGAAGGAAGCTGTTCCTTGGTCGTCTCGTATTTTGCGAACCACTGGCGAAGTTGACTCAGCGCTTGATCGACACCTCAAAACCGGGGGAGACCCCGTCCTCCTAATTCAGAAAGTTGCAGTGGCCATTACAAAACCGGGGAAGCATAAGGAACCTTTCAAGGAATCGACCGACTTGAAGAAGCTGCGAAGGCAAGCCCTACATGCTGAACCCGGGGGAGAACGGCGACGACTCTGGAAGGATGCCAGGAAGATGTACCAGCGAGAACACAGACAATGGCGACTTTTGGCCATGCAGCGAGTTGCCGAATTGGACTGGGGCATGAAGAAAGCACTCGTCGAACAGGCTCGCGACCACTCGTGGGAATTGAGCCTCACTGAGCATGATAGCTGGAAGAAAGACCTCCGCGAGCACTTCGAGAAGATCTTCTGCCGCCAAAAAGCCATGCTGGTCAGCACTGCCATCGGGGGGATCATGCACCGCCTCGCCTTCCTTTGCAAACACAAGACATGGAGGCCATTCGATATGGGCGAACTATGTCTTGTGAAAGCCAAATGGAAGAATGGCAAATCCTGTGGTCCAGATCGCGTGTCACATGAGGCGCTCAAGGCCATGCTCCCTCATGCAGTCTGGGGGGAACGACTTTTGGCGGTCTTCAATGATATGCTCTACACCTGTCGCATTGTGGAAAGTGTTGAAGTTGGAGCCACCATATTGCTGGCCAAAACCAGCCAACCACAAGACTGGAGCGAGACTAGGCCAATCACGCTTAGCTCAGTACTACTGAAGAGCTTTAGCCAACTGCTACTCCAACGTGCGGGGGATGCAATCCAGAGCCCCGCAAGACTACAGTGGTGTCGCCGGGGAAGACAAGGAGTGGAACTCATCCTTATCCTCCGGCGCCTGGCCCGGATTGCACGAGACTGGGGGCTGGAATTCTACATCGCAAAATTGGACATTCGAAAAGCCTTCGATTCCATCTACCAGGAGAGCCTTGCCGAGCACGTGTGCAAAACTGTCGGGGAAGCTGCAGACCTCCCATGGGAAGCTCGAGCCTGGGTTGCACTCTTACACGCCCAGAACATCAACGTGGAAATCGCTGGGGAAAGTATCCCCATCCAGCAGAGCAACGGGGTTCGACAAGGTGCCCCGGAAAGTCCTGTTGCCTTCGGTGCTGTTGTAGCAGCAGACCTCGGCGCTGCCATCGGGGAAGCAAAGGCCTCCAAACCAGTCGGGGATGACTCCCCCCCGGAGGATGGCGGGAGCTACATGGATGATAACTACATCTGGTCTACCTCCAGAAAGCACTTTCAGCACATGCTGACCTCCCTTGCCAACAAGCTGCCACGTCGTGGACTTTTCCTCCACCCGGGGAAGACAGACATCGTCAGCACGATCGACAAAAGTGTCACCTTCGAAGTTGCCGGCGAATCCGTGGCCACAAAGGAGCCCAAACACATCTTCCACGTGCTCGGGAGCCCCCTCTCATTCCAAGGGGGAACTGCTATGCTACTGGCTGAAGCTCAAAGCCGTGCGAGGAAGGCCTTTTGGACACACCGCGAATCCTTCACTTCGGAGGCCAGCTTCAAGAAAAAGCTCCTGATCCACGTGGTGCTCGTCAGACAAAGTGCACTCTGGGCCTGCCAAAGCTGGCCCTGCCACAGCAGCCTCCTACGGGGGATAAACTCCATTCAGCTGTCCCAAGTCAGAGTCATGCTCGGACTCCGTCGACAGCCCTGCGAAGAGTGGGCAACCTGGAACAAAAGGAGTTTACGACGAAGCCGACTTGCGCTCTACCACTGTGGGGGAACCAGATGGTCTACCTTCGTGTTGTCACAGATTTGGACAGCGATCGGCCATTTGTGCCGTGGAGACCCTATTGGGGGGAAGATCTTCCAATGGCACAGCTTGCAGTGGTGGCAGGACCAAAAAGACCGTGGTGTACATGTCCAGCATGCACAGCGATTCAATGCCTACATGGACATTGACAGACAACTTAGCGAGACGATCGGTCGTAACTGGTTCTCCATTGCCCAGGACCGAGAGACGTGGGGGAAATGGAATCCACCTTCATCGAGAGATACGACGTCCCATGGAGCAGTGGCAAGCAAGGAAGCCTGACAAACCTAGCACCGGGGTCACAACAGCAGGGGGAACAAGCCTTCCTCCAAAGCATCACCGATGGCAAAACCACCGGGAGACCAGAGAAAGCCAGCCTCTCTTACAAGAAAAACAACCGAAAAGCACAAAACCCGAAGAGCAGAGCCAAGCGATAATTCCGTACTCAACACTTCGGCAGCAGTGAGTAACTTTGTTCCCCAACAGCCCGACCGTGAATGACCTGTATGAACCAGAGACAACGGAGAGGGCAATGGAGAGCTTGTGACTTTTGCTGTGCAATGCGATGTGAAGCATGACTCCTCTTCTCATGGTGCCGACCTCCGCGATTGTGCAAGTGACGATTCAGTGCGCGACCTACTACATCCTTGTTGCTCAAAATCATGCATGACTTCTTTCACACATGACATGCCTTCAGCAGACAGCTTCTTGTGCAGTAAGCAGACACAAAGCTACACAGTCTTTCGGCAGCTCTGGACATGCTGAGCATCCAGCTACTGCCTCTCCTTTTGTGGGGATGCATCCCCATGGCATCTCAGCCCCTGACACCGAGCTGCCATCCCCCCTCCCCCCCTCCTCCCCCCACGACCTCGAGCACCACGAAACCTGAGGCCCACGAGACACGACCTCCTGCAGTCCAACAGCCGCCTCCAGCGGGGGAAAGCGCTACGCAGCAGCACCAGCCACCGCCGCCTTGGCAGACCCAACCGTGGGGACCACAACAACCCACCCACTTGGCATGGGCAGCAACACACTTGACCCCAACTGGCTACGTGACTTCATGGGGTGGCTGGTCAACAGGCCAGAGCAGCAGCAGCAGCCCACATCCACCGCCACAGCAGCCCATCTACTTCCCTCCACCAGCGTACCAGATCGGCGTGCAGGCGTGCCAACCACCACATGCACCACAACCACCACAGCCCAGCCTCGGTGTACAGCAACCACACGGGGCCCCCACCATGCCACACTCGGCACCACCAACCGGGCCATCCCAGGCACAACCACCACAAAACCCTCACGGCAGAGGGGAAGATATCCACGGCTACCACCCCACGTACAGCTGGGACTACGACCCTTGGAACAACCCACAGGACGACCCACCACACCCTTCGGTCAGTACAGCAGTGCCAGCAGCGACACAGCAGGTCCCTGAAAACTCGGGGGACCACCACACGCCAACATGCGAGCAACCACAGCATGGACACCCCACCAACACACAAGCACAGGGCTGGCTCCCACCCCCGGGCACGGGGCCACTACCACAAATGCGGCAAGACGAGTACACAAGCTGGATCGCCACCGGGCGACTGCCGACGTACCTCGAAAGGGTCTGCCCACCAGGACCTGACATCACACACCCGGGGGAGCAACCTAGCTCTCAAGCCAAGCCTTCGACAGCCACGGTTTCTACCGACACCACATACCACGACGCCACTGACAACACAGCAGATACTCCCCAGTCCGACCCCACCGCCGAGCCAATCTCCACAGCCACCACTGCAGCGGGCGACCAAACCCAAACAGACAATGTGGCGATCGACACGTCCTACAGCGCACCACCACCTCCACTCGAAACAGTACATCCACAAAGCAGCCTACCACCACGCGGCCAGAAAACCTTGGATCCCCCAACCTTCTCACAACCACGACCACCACCAGACTCTTCTCCGGGGGGAACGGACCTGGAAGAACCACAGACAGCTAACACCACACCACCAAGCGCAGACGAAAGCCCCCAACACAGCGAACCCGACCAAGCAGACGACGAAGCAGACCCTTACCGGAATGTGCCCCCTGGGAACGGCCGGGAAGGGAGGAAACCCCTTGGCCGCCCTCGCCAAACCCGTGGAGCAGGGCATGGTTCCCAAAGAGTTGGGAATAAGGAAGGGAAACACACCTTCAAGCAGCGCCAATGGGCCGGGGAAGAACTCACACGCCCCGCGCCCCAGCCCCAGAAGGGTCCCGGTTGGGGCATCCTCGCAAACCAAGCCCAAAGCTCCCCTCCCGCCGACGCCACACGGGGGACCAAGGCAGACACCCAGGCCGAAGCAAGATTCCGTGAAGCCATGGACCTCTTCCTAGGGAGACCCGAAACCGTGCAGCCAGACAACAAACCCTCCGGGGCCACGAGCTCCAGCTCCACTGACACACACCACCAACCACACGGGGGAGGCGCTGGACAGACCCCCTCGACACGCTCGGAACAGCCTCAGCAGCCAAAGCCCACACACCACACACCCTACGTTCCCATCGCGGAAGAATAGTGGCAGTACGACAACGCACCCACTGGCCCACCGCACGAAGAGCTGGAGATTCCACCCAGCCTGCCACATGCTGAAGGCACCACTGTCACCTACCAATCCTTGACACATGGCTGCTTTGAAGTGGAAATCACAGCAGAACACTACATACCCACACCCCTGACAGCATCAGCAGGTCTGCCCCCACTTCACATCACCCATGTCGGTCAGCGCGGCCCAGTTGCCACCTGACAGCTGGGTCTTTATGGTCACGTCTGCCCCTCCACTGGACGAGTTCTGGCCGCACAGCATGTTCGTCGCAGAGGGGGACTCCTTCTTGGTGGAATTGACTGCAGACGGATGGCGACTGACCGTGGACAAGCAAGCAAAGTCGGATGCACGTGAATTCCGACGGGGGAGCCAGCAGAACCCCCAAGTACGACCACCCCCCACCACTCCGTCAGACACAAAGCCACCAGCCCAGACCCAGCAACAAAGCAGCAGCAGCGGCGGCCCCTCCACCACCCCACCACAAACCACGAGCAAAGCCCAGCAGAGCGATGCCCAAGACGTTACACCTGCGGGAGGGGGAGCACCCCCACACAAAGCCCCGCGCCGCGTCCACTTCTCCGCTGACACACCAGATCCACCACCACGCAAAAGCAAACAGACAAGTCGGCCCAGCAAAGACACCCCCACTGCCGACCGAGCAAAGCCACCACCTCCACAACCACCACGTGAGCAAGCTGCCTTCGTGGACACACGAGACCTACGGGGGACACGTGGCCGACCACAGCCTACCACACCAACCGCAGACACAACACAGGCCAAACCTCCCCCTCCTGAACATCTTCTCAATAGGATCCGGGATGGCCGAAACATCGGCGGCAAGAAGCCAACAACTACCACGACAACCACTGCCGCCGCCACCATCTCCACAGCAGTCACCTTGGACCCATCGCCAACAACCACCACATCCACTACCACCAGTGCACCACAGACACACGGGCCTACGACAACCTCCTCCTCCCCAACAACTACCGGAGCAACAAACTTTTCAACGACAGCGACTACTGCCCCGCCACCCACCACCGTCACCACCACGAACGTAGGAGCGGAGGAACCCACAGACCCCTCCGATGCAAGCATCCTCATGCAACACCACATACAACAAGCACTGCAGCGAGGGGCGATCCCTCCCACTGGCCCACCACCACCAGGACTGCAGACCCATGCGGGGGACCAACCACCAGCAGAGACCATCCCCGACACTACACCAGAACCCCCTGTTTCGGTTGTGGCTGTAGCACCCGTCACTGCTACCCCCGATGCCGCCGTTGACCGCGTCGAACACTACTTGACGCGCATATACAGCCTCTCTCAGCAGCTGCCAGGGGGGAACATGATCGGGCACCTGGCCCAATGCGCCCTAGCAGACTTGCTCGTTGATGGGCAAACAGAAGCAGAGGTCCTCCGACACCTCGAGTTGGAAAGTCAGTTCCCACCCAATCTCACAGAGGGGGAACGAGAGACGAAGCGAGCCAAAGCAGATGTGCCGCGCAGTGCAGCTCAAAATGCCCTGCAGCGAATCAGAGCCAAAGCAGCACAAAGACTCGCCGCAGCCCCAACCCACGAGTATGTCAGCTACATGGACATCCAGCATGATGTGGACATAGTACTTGCTTGGCTAAATAGTCATATGCATGCCATGGCGACAGCGGCAGATGGCGATCCTCACCAATGGCAACAACCTCAGGGGGACCTCCTCTACAACCAGGGGATCACAGCGGCCATACTTGGACAGATGGGGCAAGCCCTACAGGGGGTTCAAACTGAACCTCAGAACCGCGACCACTGGCTCTTGTTGGTGGACGTGACGAGCTACCTTGCTGCAGTGGAACGGGGGGACAGTGTGAGCCACCCCGCGGATGTCATCTCTGCTGCCCGGGGAACCCTGAGCTCCCACCTGGCACGCGAACGACGACAACAGCTCTCTCGTGGCGTGGTGATGGAACTGACAGCTCTTCGACAACAGCTCGGGGAATGGCCTGGCGGTGAACTTAACGCGGTTCATGCGGCCCTGCTACAAACGCTCGAAGCTGTCGAAGATGCACTACAACCACTCGTACCTGAACCTCCACTCCCACTACCATTACACGACCAGGGGGAACCACATGGATATGATCCGGGACTACCTCAACCAGCCCACTCTGGCGGTGGAGCAAGCTCTTCCTCTGCTGGGGGGAATACGGCCGAATGGTGGACCTTCGACCGACACCATGGGCTGGGCAACGTTCCGGGGAACTCCCTCGGCAGTGGTCGGCGCACACCTACTGAGCCGATTGCCAGTGAGAGTGAGGAAAGCCCCGCAGAGCATAGACGTCGTAGGATGCACGGTGCTTTTTACAGTCGACATGGACCAGTCTAAACGTAAAAGTCATCTCATAGCGGGGGAGTAATAGGCCTTATACTGGAGGTTAACTTCTCTCTTTACTCAAACCTCTCCCATGAGTGTTTTTGCGACAAACTGGCCATGACCAAGTGCTCAGGTCTGTTGTTTATATTCCCTGCGAAGTCTTTTAGTGCTATGGGTATGTTTTACTTCAGATCCCTGTGTTACCCTAAACCCTGAGTCATAGACACCTGCATTACACCCTTTTTCATGCCAAGATGCCGGGGGGAATGAGCTTGACATCCTTGCATAGTGTGTGTTGTTTTGTAAGCTGACTTGTTCTCACTGTGCAAGCTGTTGTTTCGTACTCTATACTGGTACAAGGATGCAAGGCCTCAAACTCAGAAAAATCCTGCCAACCGCTGCTGTCCCAATTGGTCTTTAACTGAAGTACTCAAGCTGTGCACTCAAGTTGTACGCTCATGCGGGGGAACATGAGTTTACCTAGGTGAATTTAACCTGTTACACGATATTCGTACTGCGATTCCTGTATCGACAAACCCGCATCTTTCCCTTCCAAATACTTGCCAAAAAGTGATGTAGTGTACTCGAGTGTTGTGTTCTACATTGTTTTTCAGATGTAATCTTGATGGCAAGTATTCCACTAGCATGCACTGATCTCGCAAAAATTGCGAGCTCCTCCAGCGTCCGGGGAAGGCACTCTTACCTTATTCTAGCTTGTAAGTTTGTTTACGTGCCTTCAGTGCTGGTGGATCCTTGTTTGTGAGAGTGTATATCCCACCTAGTGTGTCACTGTATTGAATCTAGCTTTAGCGTATGGGGGGATTACACTCGTTCTTCACCCCCCGAAACCTGCATAACATATATGCGGGTGGGCTTGATGCCCGGGGGTCTTGACCGACCCCTATGCCCAGGAGAGAGAGAGAGAGAGAGAGAGAGCTGCCAAGGAAGCAGAAGAAGCACCGCTACTGAGGGGAAGGAAAACAACAGTGTCTTGCGTAGGGGTGGGGGGAAGGACCAAACCGGATGCGTGTTAGTACTGAGTTGGAGGTAGCTGTTGTGAGTTATTCGGGGGATACACACTGGTCCGCAACCCAGCTCAGCCGTTATGTCGTTCCGTTGTAGCTGGTGCTGTGCAGTGCTGACTAGCGCTTTGACTGGCCAGCACGGTAGGGGAACGGCTCCTTTTTTCGTGTTAGAGCGGGGCGCCCAGCGAACAGTGCAGTGCCCGAGAAGAGAGAGCCTGAGTACAGATTAGGCCCCTTGAGGGTGATATAGGTAGCCTCATCCGGCAATAGTTTCACACGGAGACTCTTGTCCGAGTGCAAGCAAGAGAGAGAAAGAGAGAGAGAGAGAGACGCACATGTGAAGTCAGAAGCATCCGAGAAGTAGCCACGGGCATGAAGCTCAGGTTTTCTCACCCCGGAGATGCGGACTTCGTTCCCGATGCAAGCGGAGTAGCTTCGGCCAGCTCGAGTGGAGGAACCCCTTCCGCCTCAGTTGGGGACGCAACGGGGCCTGTCGATTCCGCACCTGATGTGACAATGAAGGAAGGGAGTGCAGCTGACGCTGAGCTCCCAGGCTCTGTCACGTCGGCGGTTTCGGCTGCGGCTGCAGCTCCGGCTGGCATTCCAGCGGGTGATGTATCGGCACCGGCACTGACCGTTCCAGAAGCTAAAGCTCCGCCTGAAGAGCTGCATGCTCCGCCTGCTCCGCTCGCTCCGCCTGCTCCGCCTGCTCCGCCCGCCGCGGTCCCGACGTCACATTCTGAAGCTCCGGCGCCCGGAGATGCTGGAGCCAAAGAAAGCCGCCGTCTCAGGATCGGCAGTTGCTGCTTTTTCGACAGCTGCAACAGTGCGAAAGGTGCGAGGCACACAGATGCGCATGCCAAATAAACAACGCGGTCTTCAGTGCGTCCGGCGCTCTCGAACGACGCGTGTGAAGCACATTCTGTCCAAGGTCGTGACTGCGATTGCTGTTTCGACAATGTTCCTGCCACCGACGGAGTTTCTTGCCCTGGCAAAGCACATTTCTTTTGCGGGCCTTGCCTCGCAAACTTTCTTGCGGCATCCTCGGAAGCATCTCGTTTCAGAATCACCGTGGGAGCATCCTGCACGATGACTGACTCAATGACTCATTCAGGAAGCATTCAAGACATCCGAGTATGCGGAACAAAAGATGCTTGCCTGCAGACATCTGCTTGACGCCATGTGTCGCCCACTTGCCTGCTTGAGCATTGACGACTCCAGCAGGAAAGCAAAGGGCCGAGCTCTGTGTCCCATGAAGGCTCGCTGCTCAGCTATGTAGGACGACCAATGTGTCTCCGGGCAGTCTACAGTTTGTAGAATAGTGTGTTGCACGAAACCTCAGGATTCAGACACTCCATTCGGAGACGGAGCGCTGGCTGTATTTGTTCCGCAGGATCGGTCGTTCTGCGGCACTCTGCTCCGCGTGATGAGAGAACTGCAAGCTGCCAGGATGTCTTCGATGAGTATCTGCAGATACGGATCAAAGTCGCTGAGCAGAGCATCCAAGAAGAGTTCGAAAAAGAGAACTCAGCGAAGATAGAGGAGTTGAAGGAAAAACTGGCGAAAGCCACTGGCAGCCAAAGTCTCAGCTGTTGGCGTCTGCAAAGCACGGTCCGTGTATGCTGACATGGATGCAGCCCGGTTTTCAGGCGGAGAGCAGTTGGAACTGGACAAGCATCGCCTGAAGATCATCGATGACATATTCACTTTGAAGTGCCCCCGATGTAAGATGGCCTTCTTGGACTACGACAACTGTGCCTGGGCTGAATATTGGATATTGTGAGACGACGGCCCCTGCACCGTGGACACCTTCTAGTAGCATGTCGAAAGGCAGTGCGATATCGTGCTCCGCTTGCAAGTGTGGCTTCTGCTCATTCTGCCTCGAGGATGCTTGTCAACTAGCAGTGTGTAGTCTCAAGCCACAACGCTTGCCTAGCGTGTGCCAAGCTACCTGCTTGCGCACTGTGCAGATGCAGGACTGCGGCAAAGATGCACACAGTCACTTCTACAAGAATGGCAGCAAGTGCCCCAACGAAGGCAGGGACGGGGCGGACGATGTGGCTCAAAGTCCAGTAACTCCCCTGCAGTACCAGTGCCCTCTAAAAAGAAGCTCGACCAAGCCCTGAAGACAAACGAGGGTTCTCAGCTAATTATGTAGTCAGCTTTGTGCATGCATGAGAGGTATGATCCGTTTAGTGCATCTCACGTTCCCTAGAGCTCCCCCGAACCCAGAGTTCGAAACAGAGTTCCGCGAACCCAGGGTTCGAACAGTTCCCCGAACCCAGGGTTCGAACACTCCCCGAACCCGGGCTAACATTGAGTTGTCTCTTGTACATGCTGTCCATGCAGGTGGGCCTCTGTTTGTGCCCCACAATGTGTGGCAGGGCTACCAGAATGCACGCAAGGCCCACGCTGTTCTTATCCTTTGCTGCTTCGCCAGTGGATTCTTTCGATCAGCCGCGATCAGGAGCGGCTTCTTTGTGAATATTTGGCTGGTCTTCCAGATGAGATGCGAAAAAAGGTCCATCACCCCATGTCAAAGAGTTCGAAGCTGATGCTCTCGGCCGAGGTGGCAGACCTTGCAGCGCCGGATGCCAAGGACTTGGGCATCGAGATGCCGCAGGACGGAAGTGCAAGGGCAACCACGTCGGACCAGGTCCTGCTCACTCTGAGCAGGACCTCAGTGCGGCTGGACTTATGCCAGAGGCTGCTTCGTAGCTGCATGATGCCGCAGTCGGGGAAGTTTGTGAGGAGAGAGGGAATCGACATGCAGGCACATGGAATCCAGCGGCTCAAGGTCACGATTCCCCGAAGGCTTCCCTCACAGAGCCATTGAAACATTGTTTGGAACCTTTCCCTCTGCCCAGGATGCGTGGCCTCATCCTCCCTGTTAAGAAAGACCTGCCCTCCAAAGTGGACCGGGCCTTGGACAAATCATCCGCACACCCGCGCACGCGCATGATTCGGCCTGTCTTGCACATGGCTTTTGCCGCATTTCTGCCCAATTACATTACCCGCTGACCAGCTACTGATTTTTGGTACTCTAGTAGCCCGTGCTCCAGCTCTTATGCACGATGGCGGCTAGAAATAGCGAAACTGTTTTGAATGAATGAATGCGGTCCAACTGCATTTATGAGGTACGATACGGTTTCGGGATGACCTATCTCCAAGGTTTGACGGAGAAAGCAGATTCTTTTGCTCCGAGAAGCCGGACCCATAGTCCCATAATTCTAGATTCAGGAATCAGTTATGAGTCATAGGTATCAAGCGGCTGGTTCCTTAATAGGGTGCGGGAAGGATTACTTGGAACATTGTCATAAATTTGCGCATGCGAAAGCGTCATGCGCATGCACTCCTAAATGTGCTTTTCAATACGATCTCCATTATGTGCTGAATTTGCTGTCAATGTTTTGAAATGGACGAGCTTTCCGATATATCATATATCATGAAGCCAGTTGTTACTGAACGGCAGGAACGACAAATCCGAAAGAAAAGCTGTCATTGGTTTGTGGCAGCAAGCTTGTGGCCGCGGGACAGAGATACTCCTGCATGCTCGTGCGAAAACCGCCGAAGCTCTGAAATCTCATGTTTGCACGAGCCGAGGAGCTGAAGATTCCGGAACCTTCGGCTACTGCTCTACGCACAGTTGCACCACGTGCTGGTTGAGCCAACCCAAGTTGTATTGTGCTATCGCCAGGTGCGTCTGTGCAGCCCTATGCTGGCACCAATCGTTGCCTGGAAGGCAGCAGCTGGCAAGGCCACGGAGACTCAGCTTCTCTGATAGTAACAAACCTGCAGGTCACGGCTACGTCATTCGGCAAGTCGTCCATTGCTGCCCATTTGCCGACAGATCATCAGGTTGGATCACAAGCCGCGTTTTGTGCACTTCCCAGTGGCACGTTGGCATGTTGAGTTGCATCAGGTGAAGATCGAGGATGAGTGGGTGGAATGTCGAGGCGCGATGAGGCGCGTGCGATTTTGGCAGCATGCTGTGGCCTTCGAGACAAACAGGTGCCAAAGGTGACATCGCCAAAGGCTTGATCAAAGCTAAGCACATTGTCGGAATGATATCATTGGGAAAGGATGCTGCCGCCTCACTACGAATAGGTGTCACGTCATGCGCCACGATGCGTCAAGCTTTCTCGTGCTCCTACCGCTTCTAAGGTCACGCTGAAAGAGGCCAATGGCTGCGGCAGCGTCCTTGTACGCAAGACCGCAACGCAGGCTGGCTGCTTATGGAGTCATCCTGCCATGGAAAACTGCACTTTGTCGGTGTTGCGGTTTATCGAATTCAGTCGCCCCTCCAGGAGTTGTAGTTAATCCTTGGCAGCAAGAGACACGCGAATTTGGTTCCAGGTGTAGGCCCACCAAGCCCAGTAGAGTGCGGGAGGGTTAACCTGGCTACCATGCAGTACAGCCAGAAGAAGCGACATGTCCTTAGGACGAAGGAAAGAATGCTCTTGGCTATTGGGATGATGGGAAGAAGGTCAAGGACCGGGTCTAGCCTTTGACGTTAACTCGCTTGACGTGGTGCGTTGCGGTGTGTTGTACACATGGATGGGAGGAGTGCAGGGTTTGTGCTCGGCGCAGGTGGTCAACCACTGGATCGAGTGCTCCTGGGAAGGTGCCGGGCCATTAAAGCGGGGCATCGTCCAGGCCGGGGAAGAAGCTCACTTCCGAAATCTTCCTGTAGCAGTTTTGCCACCGTCGGAAACTCCGCTTCTTGCGGACGGCATTCAAAGGCCAACTGCGTTCCGGAGAACGACATTGTTTTGCGGGGGCCGGAAGAGGAGCTGTCAGCATCTGGGTGGTTTCCGGACATTCATGAACTGACTGAAACTTGAAGTTCCAAGAGACATTGTTGTACCCAGGACTGCCAGGCTGTCCTGAAGCTCTTCAAAGCGAAGCTCGGCTTCGACGTCGAGGTGTTTTCGCTCGGCGGTGTGCGCCTCATTAGACCCACGGCATGTGATAAACTGTGTGTCAAGTTTGGTAAGTCGAAGCATTACTTTGATTTCTGCACATACCCCTGACAAGCGCAAGCTCGAGTTCGCGAAAAACATATTATCTGGGGTTCCCGAAATTTCGCACCTCAGGCAAAATGGCATGCAGCATATGGACGATGGCGAAACTCACCGAACCAAGCTTTCTTCAATCAGCAACGAGTTCTCTTCGCTGATGGGCGTTGCGCGTGCCGTCACATCTGTCGGAGACGAGGTCCTCCCCTAGATCTTGTAATGCGACGAATTTTGTAACGCGACATTTGGCAAACATCGCACAGACTTTTCCGGTGGAGGTGTATGTTGTATATGTGTGCCCGGTCGGGAGCCGGAAGGTTTGCTGGCGACTGCAGCCTTGTAGATGGACTTCGAGCCTTCGCCGTTGTGCGTAGTGAAGGTCGGAATTGGGTTTCGCTTCAGGTGCTAAGCCAAAGGCGGCTGGCAAAGCAAAGGCGGCCAAAGCGAAAGCCAAAGGCAAGGCAAAGGCAAAGGCAGGCTGATGGGTGAGTTGTTTTCACCCGCTAGCCCGCTGGCTGCGGTTCAATGGCTTCTGGCAGCCACGCTGTTTTAAATATCCGCCCAGCGTTGATTTGCCGGTAAAAGTTGGGCCTACGCTGTTATGCATGTGTGAAGACTCGCTCCTGCCGTCTCTCTGCGTCGCAGTTTTTCTCGGAAGCTCTTGTGCATGCTCCCGGCATGGCCGCGCATGGTCGCACTCGCCGTTCCGCGTTACAGCGTGACCTCCAGGAGGGGGTCCCCAGTCATGGGTAACACGGCCGAGTTGCGGTGTGCGCACAGGTCAGATGGAAGTGGGATGCCCGGATGGCTGTGTTTACATGACGAGACAGAAATGACATACATACACAAACCTGATCGTGCGAGGTTGGTGGCACGCAGAAGTCCTGTCCCAAAGCGTGGGGAGGCGGCCATGTTGTGACTCTAGCAGAGATGGGGGAGGGTCCAGATGCATGTCAAGCGGGGGGAACCTGAGCTTGTGATGTTTGATGATTTCGCCCATGGAATCGAATGAGAATGAGGGTTGCCGAAGGCTTCATCAAGCACAGCGCCTTGCGTCGGCAATGGCATAGTGCCTTGAGCGGCCTCCGCGGAATGCATCTGCAGGTGCACTGTTTTCGTCAGATTGGCATCTTTTGGCGCTTGCGCTGCAAGTCTCGGCCGAGGGCTTGGAACCCAACGCTGTCGCCTGGAACCTGGTGGCCGCAGCCTCCGGCCGATGCCAGAAATGGCAGACCACTCTCAGGCACTCGCAGCGCTGCCACACTTTCGCAATCGCCGACCCGGCTCGGTCTGTGTACAGGTTGTTAAGGAGTGCAGACGCGGCAGATGAGATCACGTGATCCGCCCCGCTTCTTGCAGTTCCGAGATGTTCCGAGGCCGAGAGGCCGAAAGCCAGCAGAACATGCCAGATCAGCGAGGTACAACACGGCCGCCAAGACATCTTGTCAAGTCGCCCTGTGGGAAACTGGATGCCGCCATCGCCCGAGTTGCAAGAAGCAAGAACAGTAAGTACACGAGCGTTGTGGTTTCGAATCAGGATGTATCAACATCGCGTCAGATAGACGTCTAAAGCCGGACACGGCTCGGTCCTCAGCACTGCTTGCCGTTCTCGTGTCGCATACCACGCATGGAGAGGTCTCCCACAACATCCTGCTCAATGGCAGCGGCAAGGCTGGCAGCTGGAGGATATGCTTGCATGAATTCGTGCTGGCCTCACTGTCATGCGTTGCTAGGCTAGGCGCTGTCTTCATCTGTCTTCGCTGTTCTTGAGGCAACCCGAGAAATTGACCGTGATGCAACTGCAAGCACGTCGGCTTTAAGCGCTTTGCGCTCTGAGCTGCTGTGGCAAGCAGGCGTGCCTGGTCAAGCTGCTCGTGCAAGCACAGCTGCGTTCATGTGTTTGAAGTTTGGGACAGGCGTGCAACTTCTTTCAGAATTCTTCCGCAGAGACCTTAGCACGACAAGGCCATGAAGAGCTGGCCGGTTTCCATTTAGCTCAGGTCAAGCCCTGCAAGCCGACACTGCACTTCTTGGGACTGGAATTGGTGCTGGTGCTGCGGGTGACAGATGGCACTCCTCGCACCTTCCTTGGAAGCGGGGAATGACCAAAGGGTCTTCTGCACGGCCTGTTCTTTTGCCGCTGTCAGGCTGAATTTATTTTCTCGACTTCAATCGCTCAGCCTGCGTATGGACAGCGTTTGCTTGGGAGCGTGTGCAAATGGCTTTGTGCAGCATGCGAACTGGCGCCAGGCCAGCTTCAATTTGTATTGATTGTGTTGAGTCTTACCACGAACCTTCGCAAGCTTTCATATACTTATCTAGGCAGTTCATCTTGGAGTCCTGTTGACACGAGAGGCACGGATCTCAGTTTACGCTGCTCATGGCCGAACTGTTGGAAACATAAGGACTGAGATCGCCGCTGCTAAGGATCTCCACCTTAGCCATGTCTTCTGCAATTCCATCCTCGGCGCGTTCCAAAAATGCGGTCGTGGCTTCGCTTGTTGGGCAGAGAGAGCGCAAGAGAGGAGACTGCCCACTCCACAACACAATGGGGGCAGGATGAAATCCTGATTGTCGGCAACGACTCCGAAGCCCGGCAGAAAGAGAGAGAGAGAGAGAGAGAGCACCTAGCAAGCAAGCAAGCAAGCAAGCAAGAGAGAGCACCCTCTCTTGTAAAACAGCTCCGCCCCCCAAAACGGGGGACCGACAGAAGAGCATAGAAGAGGTAGAAGAGGCGCGGGGGTTCCCTAGTGTTCGGGTTGAAGGGGGATGCTCGGTGCCGTGCTCGCGCCTCATTCTGAAGGGAGCCCAGAAGAGACTGGAGGCCGTCGGGGCGCGCTCGCGCGCAGGGTGATGCGTCCGCGTTGCCCTTGACCGCATGCAAGCGCGAGAGAGAGAGAGAGAGAGAGAGAGAGAGAGAGAGAGAGAGAGAGAGAGAGAGAGAGAGGCCATTTTGGCTCAAGCCGTGAGTGGTCCAAGGCCGCAACCTAGAAAGAAGAGGGCCTGAAACCGGAGTGCGCAGAGAGAGGGAAGCTGAGACGAGAGCACTGTCAGGGGGGATCCTGTGCTGCACCCTTCCTTTCAGTGAGCTATCGAGCACAGGGGCGTCCTCGAAATACTACGCGACTTCTCCGAGGGGGTCCGGGGCCGCGACATAGTCGAGAACGGTCCTCATCGGTGACCGCTGCGGGCGCCGGGCGGGAGGGGGCGTTTGTGTACCGCTACCTCATTGGCAAGGCGAGCCTACAGGGGGGCTACCTGACCGGAGCGATTCTGCACAAGGCGAAGGGGTCGCAAAGGAGGGCCTCGGCAAGATCGTGATACTTTCTCGACGGCGCTAAGAATGATATCTTCCGGTGACGTGGGAAAGGGGCAGCCCGATGCTGCCATGCAAGGGGGGGCGGGGGAAGAGCCCAAGCCGACGACAGAAGAGGAGGAAGGCTCTCCCCAAAAGAGAGGGCGACATCAAGAACAGACGTTGACGCTTGCTATGCTGAAGGAGGTGCTCGCCCAGGAACGAGAGATCGATCGCCACCACCTTTCCAACAGCTTGGAAAGAGTTCAAGGGGATGTGAAAGCCATGAGTGGGAGAGTCGATGCAGTTGAGAAAGGGGTGACGGTCCACATGGAGCGCACCATACATATGCTCAACAAGGTCACGGAAAACTACGACACCCAAGCCAAGGCCTTGGGGGATCTCCGCGAGGCACAGCTCACCTTCGAAAAGCGCCTCGAGGCATTGGAACAGAGGCCGCAATTCTCTTCAGCCCCGGGGAGCACAGCAGATACAGAGGGGGGTGGCAATAAGCCACCAGCGCTCATCATTGGGGGATGGCATCCTGACCAGGCCGCAGAGGATACCCTTCAAGCAGCTAAGGACATCATCAGGCGACTTGACATTCAGCTTGAGGCCGATGACGGGTTTGTTCCAGGCCTCCGCCGGGGATACGCCATACTTCCGATCCGAGCAAGGCCCATGGAATCTGAGGGGGACAGACGCACCCGAGTTCAGCAGGCAATCCAACGTGTGCGCAATGCCAATGTGACGACTGGCACTGACGATCGGGGGAACATGAGGAAGCTTTGGATTGCCTTATCCCAAAGCCCTGAACGCCGGCGCAGAGCCAAGCTTACTGGCAAAGTCAAGAGAACAATTCTGGAAATGGGGGGAGACAAGACCGCCTTAGAAGTCGAGTTCGCAACAGGAACAGTTTGGCTGTCCAAGATCAAGGTTGCGAGCGCCACGGCTGAACGCCCAAAGGGGGCTGAGACGGCTGGCGTGGGGTGGGCCGACATCACTGCTCTGGCCAAAGCGCTCCGCCGACCACTACCAGAAGTACGCGCTGCTTGGGAGCCCCGCAAGGCGGAGCTCGCGTGACTCTGGGAATACGATGACGGCAAGTTTCACCGCACAGATCGGGGGAAGACTTCCTCCACAGCACTGAAGGTGGCCTCTTGGAACGTAGGGGGGCTAACGGCACAACATGTGCTGGAGCTTACCCCTCACTTCGCGGGGGACCCAGACCTTGACGCACTGCAAGTTCTCTTGCTGCAAGAAGTGATTACCGATGTTGGCGTTTCGTTTCATGAACACAATGGTTGGGTCCTTGTCTATGGCAAGAACCAGGGAGATTGGCGAGGCACCGGCATAGCATACAGAGGGGCACACAACAAACATAGCAATACACAGCTGTTACCTGCGGGGATTGCAACAACACTGACCGCACAAGATGGAAGGAGGGGGGTGCGCTATCTCTCAGGACACATCCCTCACCACGCCACCATTGCCCAAACTGAGAGCATCCTCGGAGCTTGGAAGGGCACCCTTAGCAAAGCCCGCGTTGTCCTGGGCATGGATGCGAATGAGATGTTCACGGACCGAGACGGCCAGGGCTGGCGGGGACACACGGGCAGGGGGGAAGTCATCCTTACGGCGGTTGCCCACACCCAGCTCAGCACTCCGCAATCACTGTCTACCCACACCTACCACCCCTACAACACCAGGATGTCTTCCCGGCGGCTCGACTATGTGATGACCAGGGGGTTGCACTGCACACAAGGGGGGGTTAAGGAGGGCAGCCGGCACATCGCCAGATCGGACCACGACCTGGTCTGGGTGGACGTCCTAAGGGGATCCCCCCCTCCCAAACCCCGCCCCACGTGGGGGGCACGCCGCTTTGCAGACGAAGTTGACCCGCAAGAGGCAACCCGGTGCCCACCCACACAAACTGACACCCCCCAGGCCATCGCACAACTGGCTCAGCAACTCACCAGGCCGGGGAAGGCCACAGACCGTTACACAGAAAGCCCCGCACTGCGTCTCCTCCGCCGACAGGCGAGGGGGGCACCTGCGCATCAAGCCAGAGAAGCATGGAAAGCAGTGACACGATTACGCCAACAGGAGGTGCGAGCATGGCACAAGCATCTTGTCAACAAAGCCAGCCAAGCCAATTGGCGAGCCAAGCGCGCATTCGACATGACGCAAGCCAGAACGGGGTGGCATCATCATTTGGTTGATGCAGAGGGGTGGCAGGAAAAGCTGGTGGGACACTTTGCCAGCATTTTTGCAAAGGCCCCGGCGGAGCGCACAGCACGCAACATAGCAGACACCCGCCGGGCCCTCACCCTCCTATGCAAGCACACACCATGGCGGCCATTCACGGGGGAGGACCTTCGCTTCGCTACCAGGACGTGGAAACGGGGGAAAGCTGCGGGACCGGACTCTATCACGCACGAGCTCCTTTGGCTGCTCCTGCAAGAACCCCAGTGGGAATGGCGTATCCTTCACATGATGAACGACTTTCTGTACAAAGGAGCCATTCCCGAGTCGGTCTTGAGGGGGGTCACGGTTTTACTGCCAAAGACCATTGCGGATCCGGTGTCATGGGGGGATACGAGACCCATTACCTTGAGTTCCTCGCTACTCAAATGGTTCTCGCAACTCCTACTGCTCCGTGGGGGTCGCAGAATCACAGAGGGGGCACCACTGCAATGGGGTTGCCGGGGCAAGCAAGCCCCAGAACTTCTGGTGGTGCTGAAGCGGGTGATCCGCCACGCAAAGGATTGGGGGATCCCGACCTGGATAGTCAAATTGGACGTCCGAAAAGCATTTGATAGTGTGTGGCAGGAAAGTATGGGGGATATGGTTGCCACGAAGGTTGGGGGGTTGCGAGCCTCGGGCGGGGGATGCGTTGACGGCATGCCATGGGAGGCCAGAGCATGACTCGGCCTTTTAGAGGCGAGGGAAGTCAGGGTTGCGGTGGGGGACACACTTACCCATGTCCCGCAAACGAATGGGGTGCGCCAAGGCTCCCCTGATAGTCCCGTGCTCTTTGGGCGTGTGGTTGCAGACGACCTCGAAACGGCCCTCAAAACCACCCAGGGGATGCTCCCTCCAGCAGAGGGCCCACCACCACCACAATCAGGGGGGGCGTATATGGATGATACCTACCTTTGGTCCCACGACAAACATCACTTACAAGCATCTCTCGCAGCGTTGGAGCGACAGCTCCGGCGGCATGGCCTGACCATCAACCCTGCCAAAACGGCAATCATTTTCAGCATGAAGACGGGGGGGGGCAGCTTCCACATTGGGGGGGAAGAGGTTGCCTGTCAGCCTTTCGGCACAGTCGTCACAGCGCTGGGGTCACCCATTACCTTCGGGGAGGAAGTGGCTGCAACCATCTCGGAGATGCAACACAGAGCCCGGCGAGCATTTCACAAGCACGCGAAGCTGCTTTGTGCACCCACATCGTTGGACAGTCGCATTAAACTTCACCAAACCCTGGTCAGGGGAGCAGCAGTGTGGGGGGGGGAGGCCTGGCCTGTGACAGACGCCACAGCTGGGTCAGGTGAGGAGAATGATGCACCCTGGGAGAAGTCCAGGAGAGTCGTGGGAGGAGTGGAATGTGCGCACGCTGAGGGGAGCCAGGGTTGCATTGCACAAAGCGGAGGTTCTGCGTTGGAGCACATACATACTGCAGCGGGTATGGGACATTTGGGGGCACATGGCTCGTGCAGAGTTGGGGGGGAGGCCAATGCTTGCCTGGAAGAACCTAGAGTGGTGGGGCGCCGAAGTTCGCAAGCCGCGCAGAGAGAGGCAGTACTGGCACAGGGGGCGCTTTAACTCCAACGTGGATCCTGAGAGACAAATCGCCAAAGTAGCGGGAGAGTCCTGGCAGCGGGTGGCCAATGACGCCACCGTATGGAACACTCTTGCTGGGGACTTTGTTGCAGCATTTGACGTGCCGTGGGCATCGGGGCAACAAGGCCTAAGGCAGCCTTACAAACCTGACACCCAACAACAGTGCGGGAGGCAGAAGGCAACACCGAGCGAATGAGACAGACCAGTTGACAGCACAGTGCATGCCAGCCGTCCGGAACTGCTGAGGGGGAGAAGCCTGTATCAGTGTAGCAGTGCCGTTTGCATGTGTGCACGTTTGCCAGCGTCTGCCTCAGCTTGTGAATGTCACCTGCAGCGTTCAGTGC